AGCCCAGCAGCTCCCCAAGTCCTCGCTGCTTCATCCTGTTCAGCTCCAGCACCCCTCCACAGCAGCCAGCTTCCAGCCTCCTCCCCACAGAGCTGCTGGCTCCAAGGGCATGTACAGCCCATGTCCCCAGCAAGGGCTGCCCTGGCAGCAGACTCTCAACATACCATTGCAGCAGGGTGTTTATTCCAGAAGTCGCTTTCTTTTTAAAATCTCATGGTAGCAAGCTGTAGTTGAAGGACCCATCAACCGCTGCCACATTGAATTTCAAGAAACACCTACTTGTCTCTGGAACACAATCAATATTCACTAAACCTGCTTAGCTTAGAAGGTCAGTCAGAAGAGTCCCAATGTCTGTCTCAATTTTAACACTCATTTTTAACCATTGCAACGATATGCTGGGTAAGGAAGATATTAGGAACTGCACAGTAGGGCTAATGTTTGGAGCCAGCAGTCGTTCACAAGAGCCTACATTTGGCAATGGCAGAGAGCTTAAACTCCAATTGAGAACAATGCAGAGCTCCATCAGCCTGCCCTGCTACCTGTGGTGACAGCACACGAGCATTTGGACCAGAGACAGGATACAGCCATGTATAGGTGTGCCAGCAAAAGAAGCCAAGAGAGGTTTCATAAGGACACAGTCACAAGGGACTCCTCAAGTCCCAGAGAGGGAACACAGGTTTCATGAGGACACAGTCACAAGAGACTCTAGCAGGTCTCTGTTGGAAATGAACAAATCGTGAAAGGTACACAAGTTGGCCAATATTCGGCAGACTTTCATTGAAAGCAAAAGCCTGTCTCTGGCACAAGTTACCCGCCTGTGCTCAGCTTCAAGTTCCAGCTCCTCCACATAGAAACAGAAGGTCTCTACAACATTTTTAGAAATTATAAGCAAGTTACGCTTTCTCTAGCCCAATTCCTTGACGAGAGAATTTCAATTAAAATTTTCCAAACCCATATGGTCTGAGGCAGATGCCCATCACAGAGGGGAGGAGAGAGGAAAACCTATGAGGGTATAATGAATTCATCATATGACACCAAACCCAGCATCTTACAGTGAAAACTGCCTAGCTAGCACATTAATGAATGTTACACTTCATTTAGACATATCTAAGTGAATTAACAAACAGATGACTATTTTGGGAACAAGTAACTTTTCACTATGTTATGATCACTTGTGTAAGTACTTACGTATGCAATGATTTTAATACAAGAATATTTTAAAAATTTCTGATGTGTCTCCTGTGTTTTGCAACTGAACACCTTTCAGTCTGGATACCACTTAACCTTTGACTTAAAAATATACCAAATATTCTTTGCAAACTGCTACTTCAGTTACTTAATTAGATTTTGCAAAGTATAGTAAACATATGGAATGAAAATGAGTTGAGCAAAATGGCTGGTGAAACAATGTGCCGCATTTCTAAAGGCAATATAGTGTATATGTAGTATAGGGTATATATTTCCAAGCTGTAACCTTGAGAGGTTGAATTGAACCAATTACTCTAATGAATATTTTACTTGGCTTGATGCATTCATTAGACTTTTAGAAGTAAGCTAAACTATCCCATGGTTATGTTTACATAATAACAACAAAATCTTAAGATTTTTAGGTGGTACTTCTGACATTTACCCAAGTTAAAAGATGAGGGGACAATTTTCTCTTCCACAAATTTTTCTACATTTCAAGTTTCCTTCCCAAAAAAATTTATCTAGCATTATTTTTTTTTCTTCTGAAAGCTACCTTTGACTTCACAATAGCTATTTGCTGGACTCTTTTTTTTCCTAGGAAGTATTTGGTGGTGTTTGGGAAGTCTGCCAACTGTTGTCAAACTCATCACTAGACCCATCATCATTTGTGGAAGAAAATGTGCTTGCTATATAAACTAGTGTTTGCTATATAAACTTTTCTCTGGAAGTCACAAATGCCAGGCCTCAAGGTCGGCACTCAGCATGAACAAACCTATTTTCATTTTGTGGAACACAGGAACATTTCTTGGATTGATCCCAATTCTGATTGGTAAGCAAGCAGTTACCTGTCCATGTGTGCATAAATGTCAATGCTATTGATCATGTTTTGAAGTTGGACAGCTAACTGGGAACTTCAGGTTGGTTTTTTTTCAAAGATGCTCATTATATCCCTAAACACCCCAGACAGAACTCTTCTGGATGCTTAATAACAGGCAGAGATGTCTCTATTTGAATGCCAGAGATTTGCTGCAGGATGACACTAAGATTGATTCCAACGGACTATTTTTTATAGCATTCATATTTACTTTTATCTCAGAATCATAAAAAACCCAAACAAAAAAATGCCCCACACCCACATCCCTCACCTCCACAGACCTACACATTGGCAGTATCTTCACTGAAGACCAAACTGACTGAAATGATGGTCCATCATTGCCACCTTGGAAAATGAGGCGAAAAGCAGTTAAGCTGTCAGTGAGGTATGTTTCATCCTACTGCTGATAGATGTGGCAAAGGAGAATCTGAAGTAAAGCCTGCAAGAGGTTTACTATACTGAGCACTCACACTTTGGCCACAAAACCAAACATGGAAGAACACAGTATTAGTCTGTTGGTACTTGTAAGAAAACACAAATCCCAAATGAAAGGTCATTTTAAAGATTTCACATAACCCTGAAACTTGCTTCCCTTCACATACCACTCCAACACATCTCCATACCAATGTCAACCTCCCATTTCTCCTCAAGTTCCTTCTACTTTTCCTTCAGCACAATGTTTTCTTCCACTCCTTATACCATGTTTCAGCAATCACGTCAAACTATACAAATGTGCTCTTGTCTTTCCATCCTACTTATTTTCCCTCCACTTCCTTTCCTCACAGCTACCAGCAGAGATGCAGTATGAGCTGTCCATTTCAGAAGGCAACACACCTGTCAGCACAACCAAGAACTTCTCAAGACCAAAACATGTCTTGAGTGCCTCCTAGCCACCACTTCATGGCCTCTGGCTGACCAGATAGATGGCCACAAAGTTGATGAACCACAGAGAGGGACCACACTGTTTACAGCAGGCACAGAAATAGCCTTAAACAGCACATCCAGGACATGGACCCCATATAATGCATGACTGACTCACATAAAATCAATGATCATGACCCTAGCGAGTCAGAGACTGTAAAACATATTATAGAAAAAAAAGCCTCTGCTTCCAACCAGTCAAGGGAGAAAGACACATTTGCAGACCATAACAAAAAGGTTTAAAAAGAGAGTGCAATAAAAAAAAAAGCCAAAACATGACTGATGTAAGATGCTGAAATCCCAGCACAAAGTATAATGGTGGCAAAATTCAACTGCTTAGGAGGACATGGAGGGCAAAAACTACATTGGAACAAACCATAAAAGGGCTTTGTAAGTGAAGACACATTTTTTTATACTTGCTGTGGTGGAAAATAGGGACCCTGAGAGCATCACTTAAGTCAGAAAGCTGACAGACAAGTAGAGATTTCCCTCAGTGGAAGAACAGAAAAAAGAGTTTGCAATATAATAAGTATACTTCCAGCACCTCCACATTATTAATCTTCCTCACCACTGCTGGCATTTTCTTCTACTCTATTTAGTATCATATTTATTATGACCAACTTACTGAAATGGGTGACACAATCTGATGCTGAGTATACCTAACTGATATATCTATAAGATTGACCTAGGAAAACTTTAAATAGAAGTCTTCCATTAGAGGACAGGTGTAATTTTTAAGAAATGCTATGCTGCAAAGAGTGCAAATTCTGAAGGATGAAGCGTAGCATTCCTCCCTTTGAAGGAAAAACTCTGTCAGACTTACTCACTTCTGTAATTAAGATGTTATTTCCAATTCTGAGTAGAAAGTGCAGCTCCAAGGTTTTCTTTGATCTTTCGTGATGAGAATGAAGACCCATCAAGCACTCTAAACCCCATTGTGTTTTTATTCTTCAAAGACTGTTTTCTACTCTCTTATGTCTCTCTATGTGAGAAGGTGTTTATGTTGAGCTGAAAGATGCAACTAGAAAGCAAGTCAAGGTGCGACTGTTGGAACATGATGTGGTTCTTTGCAGACGCTAATGCATAAAGGCACTTGCACAAAACACTCCCCACTGCCAGCCAGCTCTCTGGGAGCTCAGAGACTGCAAACCTTTGAGACTTCAAGTCTCCAGTCCACACCCATAATTCAAGGTTTCAGAGCAACTCTCAGATCTTATTACTTTACAGTAGAACTGAAGATATTCAGCACAATGAATCTCAGAAGAAAACTAGCTTTGAATGCAGTGGCTTTGGTTACCAAAGAAATCAAGGCTAATGAGTTTGAAGACAGCCTACTGAATGTCAAGCCCTTTCAGCTAAAAGTAAAATAAATTTAGATTTTAATCTTAGAAATATTATAATTAAATGACTAGAAACTGTGTCCATATAAAACCAGCAACCGTGACTCGCCATACCGGAACGCAGTCTCACAGTCTTCTTACAAGAAACCAGAAGCATTTTGCTGGCACAGATGAAAAGCCTCTCCAGGAAGAGAGGCTTAATAATTTAATAGAGCAAGCCAAAAGCCCTTTTATGAAAGAGCCATCAGGACTCTTATTCCATATAATGTTCCTGAAGAAGAGCATATTTGCATCTCAGGCACCCTGTAGACCCAGTAAGTTAAATTTTTCAGGGCTGATAAGATCCCAGACCCTTCTTCCAAGAACTGCTTGTTGTTTTTGCCAAATCCTCTAACACAAAATAATCACAAAAATCACATAACAAGGGTTATGAAAAATTAGCATAAATGGGGACAGACGAGTGCTCACCCCTCAAGCCCAGAGATTACCACTCCTTGTTTTCCACCCTTTTCTGAACATTTGAGCAGACACTCCCCTCCCTGCACCGTGCTCCAACTAAGGTGAGGGGGAGAGTGATGATCCTACTAACACTAGCATGAAAGCTAAGGAGTGCTATAAAGAAGATGGGAAACATGCAGCAGGGGAACTCTGTCACATTGTGGGGACAAATTACTTACTGATCTCCATTCTCAAACATTTCCTGGACAAAGCAGCAGGCATTTTCTTCATCTTCCTTTCCTAGGCCTGGGGGCAAAAAAAAGATGCCCAATTTCTCCGCAGCACATCTTCATGGCATAGTAGCTTCACATAAGTCACCACTTATAACACTATTGCTGTTAATAACCAAAATTTCTTTAGGCGGCCATTCTCATGAAATGCCCAAACTAGATGGAACCTTTCAGACCTTTGTCCTAGCTGCAACTCTGCAGCACTTCCAGAACAGGTTTCTAAAAGCACAAGTATCAGAATTTTCAGTTTTAAACTAAGCAAAATACAAGTACATAACAACCTTTGTCTCACAGGCACTGTAATTCAACACTGCTTACACACACATCATTTTTGGTGGGTATTTATTATTTTGTCCAGAATTTATATCAACATAAGATTAGGAATAAAGCAGGGTAATGGTTACAGGTCTGAACCTAGTCTTCACTGTGAACTCGGATACAGTTTGTGAGCACCAATATACAGCAAGTATACCTCAGCTTTTCTAATAAGGCACTCAGTGAAGGACAGTAGATTTTTAAGATCATTTGTTTCCCATTACATCAAGTGGGTGACATGTCAGCAGTGAGTCTTCAAGTCCCAAACATGTCAGAGGTGAAAAGGGAAATCAGTAATCCCATACAATGCAACCTTAATAGCATAACAGTAGTCCTTTTTGTCCTTACAGAAACTAGGTACCAACATAGGAAAATAAGGTCAAAAGGTGAGGACTCAAAATTAAGTGAAGTCAGAACTGGACCTTTCAGTCAGTCTCAAACATGTATGTATCTCCTGCATGTTCTACAATAATGCAGTCTTTACCAGTCTGAACCAAGAAAGCCTCTTCTTGCTCCTGAAACGTCTGCCTTAATCAGAATCTAAAGAAAAGGCTGCTCCAAAACTAATCTGCAAATAAAACAGACACTGATATTTTCAAAGCAAATTCCAACAGTCTGTAGTCAAAACATAAGCAGCATTACCACAGTAAAAGGGCTGCTAGAGAAGGGAAATATGAGCAAGTTTCAAAGTTGCCTGAGTGTTTAACGCTGACTTCACTGTCCGTATTATTTTATAACAGAAAATGCATAACTATGAAAAACACTGCGTAACTTGAAAAAGTCATAATTTCTATATTCAGTTGGACTGCTGCAGGCAATCCCACCATATCCCACCCACTAGCATAAATATTCCTATTTGGAAGGACTGAGGTAATGTAAATAACACACTGATCAGTTCAGCATATAGGCTGTAGCATGTGCATGGCTAACCCGCAGAATCTAACCATTTATCTCACTTAAAGTATTCAAGCTTTCTGAGTACTTACAACTTCCCCATTTATATAATTCTGTATCCGTTTCATTTAAAACAAATTGAAATAGCTTTGAAATATTGATGTTGGGAAGAATTTAGAAGGCTCGTTTTCTCTTTGAGTACTTGGAATATAATAATCTTTTGTGGTAAACTAGTACACTACATCAGGTAAAAGTATCTTCTACTATTGTTTTGCATCACATCAATAAAATGATATCAAACCCCAACAAAATTAGATTTATGATTTCTTTTTTAAAATTCTACTTTGTAAGTTAGAGCAAAGAACTATGTTCAGAAGTCTGTATTCATTCAGAACTTGGGATTTAAGACTGACTTTCACAGATCTAAGAGTACATGTTTTGCACATAATTTTTTTATTTTTTAGGTCTCTGTGTACATATTATTTCCACTCCCAAAAGTAGTAAAGGAAGAAATTTGGAGTAAAACCAGAGAATACTTAAAGTCTTCCCAGTTCTGTTATATACTAGAATATTTCATGTCTCCCAACCCATGGCATTCCTCCAGTCTTACTGCAGCTAAGTCTGAGTTAATGCTTGGCAGAACTTACAGGTAACTTCCTCAAGTAAATAAAAATACAAGAGGAAAAAGTACTAAACTAAACTAACTGGGGATATATGAGATGGCCAGGAGATTAAAAAAAAAAAAAACAAAAAACACTAAAATCTGTAGAAGCTGCTGGCGGTGAATGAGATGCACGTCTACACTTGAGAAATTCACTATGTCAGAAAAAAGCCTGAACAGAAAAAAACCAAAGGGAAATTAAAAAAGCACGTGTCTAAAAGAAAGTGGCAACAAAATCTACACCTAACAGGTATTAATAGGCAGAGAAATCTAGAAAACAAAGGATGCCTCCCAGGTGGCAGTACATCTTCACTCACCTCATCAGCTTTCAAAGCCTGCTGGAGGCAGATCTACAGAACTTGTGAGGAAAACAGTAAAATTGTCATTGTATACATTATTTGCATCTCACTACTACAAATCTCAGGGGAACATACCTGTAACTGCTTTGAAAACAAAATTATCCAGGCAAGATCCTTCCCAGCAGCAACACAAGCAGCAGCTCATACTTGCCACCGATATTTCTTGCAGTGTGGACCTAACTGTTTTTACAGATAGATTTAATTTACATAGTCTTCAAGGCAGTCAGATGGAAAAACAGTATTGATTTCTTGTCTGAACCCCTGCAATTCAGCACATTGATACAGTGAGCTAAAAAGGCAGACACCCCCACCCGTGGTTACATACTGCAGTCTCTAGCACACAGCAGTTCCTTGGCAGAGAAGGAGAAATGCAGTTAAGGCCAGGGTCAGGCCTTGGCAAAGACCAATTGCCAAAACAAAGGCACCACTGGAGGTAGCGGAGAGAAGAATCTCTTCTTAAAAATAGTATCAACTCCAACTGAAAAGTGCAGCCTGCTGGCAGGTGGAATTAAGTATGCTGTGTTTGAAGGTACTGTGAAAGCAGACAGAGAACTTATCCTCCATATGCCTTGACCATCCCAAGAATAAGCCTGCAGAGGCTGTATTCGTGAGAACACTTGGGTACACTTCCCACATTGTTTTGGGTGTTTGTTTTTCTAAATATTAATTAAACTCCCTGTAGCTTACCACTGAGAAAATGAAGCTAGAAACAAGGATAAGAAGATAGAACAAAGCTAAATATAGGTATAGTTACCTGATGCTTTAGATAACCAGTGAGTCATTTCAGTAGAATCAAAGTCATTGCACTGGAATTAAAGCATCTAAAAATTAAAGGCTGTTGCTGCACAATCTATAAAAGAACAGAAGACTACATTATGTGTGTATCCAGGCTACATCTCACAGATCCTTTTTTTCCTCCCTCCTTCCCAAGATTACCTGTATTTTATGTTACAAGATGAATCATTTTGTTCTTTATACACAAGGAGTACTATTAATTTGAAGAGACTCAAAATATTAAGTTAACAAGATAGGGAGCTATCATCATTCAGGACTCTATATAAACACCTTCTCTTGCTTCCCTTAACAGTGGTATTTAAAATGTTGACTGTAACTAAAATAGGTGAGTGCAGCAACTTAGTATAATCATGAGCAATCGCTCAAGGAAATGTGATCTAATACTTGTAATTTAAAATTATCTTGCAATCTGACTTACAGAATAAAGAAAACAAAGATATCATTCAGCTGAGTCAACATTCTCATTACAGGCTGCCTATCATGGCGAAAACTCAAGTGAATGAGCATTGCAAAAGAAAATGTTCCTATAGAAGTTATTAAGATGTAACTTGAAACAGTCACAAAGTAAGCATGGTGTATATAGATTTATTAATTTCTTCAAACCTGTTCTTGAGAGTAAAACAGAGAAGGGGAAGACAGACAACAAATAGAAAGCTCTACAGAAGACAAAACCCTACTGGAATAATCCACAGGTAAGAGAAAACTTCATTTAGAACTGATGCAAATACATCAAGCTTGTAAATCAGACTGATTACATTCTAATGCCAAACAATTCCAGATAAAGACAATTTAAATCACACTGAAATTACTGATTTTTTGCCGAGGTTATATATCTTAGTCTTTATTTGAGCAGCTCACTGTAGAGTGCTTCTGATCAAATATTGTTTATCTGACACAAGAAAAAACACTTCACTCCTCTGAAAGTTTGGAGCACCTAACCTAGTATAAATTACAAATTGTGGCTGCAACAGGTAGCAGCAACAGAAGAGACAAAAAAATTTATTTTTTTTTTTTTTTTAAACAATATTAAACAGATCTATGCAGAAACATGTCTCTAAATACATTATAGATCAGAAAGCTACTTTGAAGATGTTGACACATACGTGTCAGAGAATGCTAATTTAGGTTCCAGACTGTGCATTTATCTAGCACAAGTATTTATACTTAAGTGTATTAAGAACTCTATTATTAAGAAGCTTGCTATTGTTGGGAGTAACAAGCTCTTCTTATTTCATGCTGCCATTGTAGGAGGATTCAGGGACAATGGTGAAAAAATAGAATCAGCTATCAAAGAGTACACTGAGAATTTATTTTCTATTCCTTATACTCGTCAGACTCCAAGATATCACAGAGTCTAGTACTAGTTCCTCTGGAAAAATTAAATAAGGATTCTTTTCATTCAACATACCTTCTAAGAAACAGGCCTGAATGGAAGCATTTAATTTTATTGCATAGCAGGTAATTCTGAATCACCCACCATGACATTAGCTACCCTTATGGAAGAATAGCTACATTTGGTGGCATGATGCAGCTTCTGGTAAACTAGGAGACAACTCCAGAACTGGCAATGACAGTGGCAAAATTTCAGGACTGAAGTCCTCCACTGGAAGTTCATTTAAGTCTCACCATGTTGCATATAAAGAGAGCTGCTTCCCTTCACAAACAGCTTTTCTTTATGCAGAAAACATGCAGCCACTGCCTTCTATGTAGCTCAATGCCCCATATCACTACTGGTCAGTGCTAACCAGGGTTAAGTGAAAAATCCACAGTAGGCATTTAACGCTTGAGATTAGCAGTCAGTTGATTAATGTGATCTACTGGCCCCATTTTGTATGTCAAGTCCCTTATGCAATCATATCTGGTAGGTGTAACAGGAGGGCTCTCCCACCAAATGCCTTAATTCTGTAAACTGTCTCACTCCGACGGGGCCCTAAAAACCTTTGTCTTAAGCAAAAATTAGACTGACCACAGGAGTAAAATTTCTTTACAATA